GCCATCGAGTGTCCCCGCCGGCCTGGGAGGCGCCGACTAGACCCGCCCGGACCAGCCCCCGCCGCCGCCCGGCTCCGCGCTTAGATGCTCCACTTTCGTTTCTTCACCGCTTTTTATTTATTTATTTTTAAAGATTAATTTATGCAGACAAGAGCTGGGGGGCAGGCCAGAGGTGTGGGGGGTGAGAGGACTCCCCGGAGACAGAGCGGGGAGCAGAACAGGGGCAGCCAGGACCGGGAGAGGCCGCCGCGCCCTGGGGGTCGCTCCCTGGCTGGGGATCGAACTCGAGTGCGGCGGACGGCTTCAGGCGCGGCGCCCAGTCCCCTGCCCCGGGGAGGCCCGTTACTGCGTTTCAGAGCTTGGTGCGCTTGGTCTTGCTTTACACACTCGCCCCTGCCATAACCAGCTCCTTTGGCTGCTCCTCCCGGGCCGGGGCAGCCCCTCCCACCGCAAGGTGGGCTGTGCCCCCAGCGCCTCTCCCCGGGTCTCCATACTGACGCGCCCCTGTGAGCCCCCATCACGGCCCTCAGCGTGAACGCCCAACAGAGCACCCCGTCCTAAATGACCCACATCTCCCCGTGCTCACCCGCACCCCGCTTCCTGCGGGGCTTCTCCTGTCTGTGCGCCCCGCCCAGAGCTCTGGCCCCGCTCTGGCCCCTCCCAAGGGCATCTCTCACTCCCAGCACAGGTGCCTGACCCCCAGGGGCACACATGTGGGGCGTGTACACCGCTTCCTCCCAGACCTGGGCTGTCTCATGACCACGCTGACCCCTGCTGGCCCCCAGGACAGGGACCATGAGGCCCGGTGAACGCCGTGGGAGGCCACCCCGTCTCCTGGCTGCCTTCTGCCACCTGCCAGGCGGTGCTGTGCCAGGTGCCCAGGGCACAGCCAATGCCTGTGGCCAGGTCTGCACAGAGTCTCGCCTCTGTCCCCTGCTAAGGCCTCCCATGGTGACCCTCGGTGGACAGAGCGGCTCACCAAAGGGGCCCTGGGACAGCAGCACAAGTCCCTTCTGGGTCCCCATGACCAGCCAGCACCTTCCAGGCCCAGGGCCTCAGGGCGGCTGGCTGGACTCTGCACCCCATTCCCGCCGGAGCAGGGGCCGCGGCCTCAGAAGCTCCTGCCCTGCTCAGCCGACACATGAGGCCTCGGGCACCTGTCTCCTGCCCGGGCCTGGTTGAGAAGAGGAGGGGCGGGGAGTCCAGTGTGGACTGAGGGGGCTCCCTCCCGTGGGGCTGTCCGCAGCCCTTGGCTTGGGCAGTGGGGCAGAGGGAGGGGGCAACCTCTCACCACAGGGGCCCCCGGCGCTGAGCTGTGGGGGTGGGGGCAGGGCCGGACTCTGGTCCTCACCAAAAGCCCAGGCTCTCTGACTCCTGCGGTCGGGCAGCTGCCTGACCGCGACCTGGAGCTGCGCCGGCCCCTCCGGGCACACGGGCGTCTGGAATGTCTCCTCGGCCAGGCGCCGGGCTCGAAACAGCTCTGCCCAAGGGTTCTGCGCGCCCCTGCTACCTGCAGCGGCCCCCCGGTGGGCAGGGCAGGCGGCTACTCCCAGGGCCTGGGGCCGGCGGCGGGGTCTGGGGTCAAGGCGGGGTGCGCTTTCGGAGCTGAGGGTGGGGCACTGGAGCTCAGCGCCAGGTGGGTAGGGGCTGCCTTCTCTGGGGAAACTGGGGGCTCCAGAATGTCAGGGACTCTTCAGGCTGGAACAGGCCGGTGACGTGGGGAAGAGAAGCTGTGAGGTCCCTGGGCGGTCACCCTGTGCTCTGGCACGGCCCGGACTCCCCCAGGGCCTGGCAGCGTCTCCCTGACCGAGAGGAGGGACGAGTCCGGTCCAGTCTGAACGCGCAGCTGCTGGTCCCAGCCACACCGCCGGGGAACTGTCCGGCGCTGCCCGGCACGGGCGGGTCGTCAGGGGCTTGAGAGATGAGGTGTTTGACCCGCAGCCGCTGTGTCAGCTCACCCCGCGGGCGGCGGGGGCCTGTTGGGGGCAGCCAGCGGTGTGCACCCCAGAGCCGCTGCCAGCGGGCCTGCCCCGGGGAGACACCAGCCGCCTTCCTCTGCCAGCCAGGACACGAATGCTTTCATTTGGTCATAAGCCTACTTTGTGCTGAAAACTCTCCCACGTCTTACTGACACCCTAAGGGAGAGAACAGACTAAACTCTGGAGCGCTGGAGTCACAGCACGAGCACAGCCAAGGGTCTGAGGGTGCACACGCCGCTCCCGCACGCAGGGTGGGCTGCCCGCCTCGCCTGCTCCCCAGGGCTGGACTCTCCCTGCCCACACCGGCTTCCATACTGGCTATGTTTCTTTTTCTTTCTTTTTTTTAAAGATTTATTTATTTATGCATACAAGAACTGGGGTGCAGGCCAGAGGTGTGGGGTGGGGGGTGAGAGGACTCACCAGAGACAGAGTGGGGAGCAGGACAGACAAAACACACTGCCGAGGGGAGCAGCGGGGAGACGGGAGAGGTCTGCCCCACCATGTGGGCAGCTCCCTGGCCGGGGATCGAACTCGTGCTGCAGAGGCTGTGGACAGCTTCATAGGTTGCGTCTTAACCCCCTGCGCCACCAGGGAGGCCCCCACACTGGCTATTTTTTTGTGAGACTCGGGCAGGCGTGTGGGAAAGAAACAGGCCGAGGACAAGCGGCTCACGCCTCTCCGTGAGCAGACCATGGGTCTGCAGGAGCCTGGCCACACGAGCAGGGCCTGGGACCCTGGCGCGTCCCAGACTCGAGCCTCTGCGTTCAGTGGCTTCTTGGGCGCCTCCCAGGGGTGAAACGGGTCCCTCTGGGGCAAAACCGAGGAGTAAGGAAACTTCCCTTCCACAGCTTTCCTCTGGGGTGAACCCCCCCTCCCTCTAGCTGACCTAGGCCGTCCCCCTTCACCTCTGTCCAGGCGGAGCTGCTAACTAGCCCTGATGCCGTGGCTGCCGAAGGGCTGTGCCCGGAACTTGCGCTCACCCCCACCTTGGCCTCCGCGCCCAGGGTGACCCAGTCCCTGCAGTGACCCGGTTCTCCCGCAGGACTGGCCTCCTCCTGTCTCCGGGCCTGTCTGCGCCAGGAGGCTGCCTCTGCTTCGCGACTCGCCTCTCCTGGAGGGCGAGCGGGCAGAGGCGGCCGCAGGGAGGCGCGGGGAGGAAACCGGTGCTGTCGCCACCTCAGGGACCCTGCACAGCCGGCCGGCCCCGTCGGAGGCACCTGCCCGAGCAGCAGGGCCGAGGCCCGGGACGCCCCGGTGACACCGGGCCCTCCAGCCGGGCCCTGGCGAGGGCACCTGCTCGCGAAGCTTTCCCCAGGGACCCTTCCTTCCTCCCAGAGGTCAGGTTCCCCCCAAGCTTCCTCAGCCGCCCACCCCCGAGAGCTGCCACCCTGAGACCGCCATCGGCTGGGACTGGGGAGCCCACCGTCCCTGCCCCTGGCCGAGTGGGACACGTGTTCCTCCCCACATCGCAGGTCCGTGAAGGTGGTCACATGCGGACAGAACCCACACCTCAGACCCGCATCCTTTCTCCACGGGGCGGTCAGGCGGACACTCTATTGCTCGGCAGCCAAACGCAGCTCTCAGCGGCAGAGTCGACGCGCCACAGAGCCAGGCAGCCACGCACAGGCCCAAGGCGGGCGGGCCGCGGCATCAGACACCCAGGTCCGTGGCGCACACGTCTCCACTTACTCATGAGAGGAAATTACCAAGTTAGCGCCACAGCTTTGCTTCCAAAGACCTGCGCATGCAGGATAACCTGAGGCCCTCGGAGAACCGGAGTAAAAATTCACAAAGGGAAACACATTAGAAAACGGGTTAAACGTCTCATCCTACCTCATTCCAAATATACCAAAGCGTCCTAGTAAAATAAAGCATTAACGTGCACTCAGCAGACATGCTCATTGCATTTATTTTCAGAACTACTTCGTTACAGGCCACCTGCCCTTTCCGGGGTGACGACCTGGAAGCCCGCTGACAGGAAGGTAAAGAAGCAGACATCCCCAGCCAGTTTTGCATGAACATGGACGACGCCGTTTAATGCAGACCCAAGGCCAGACATTTGCAGGGGGAGGTTTCGCCCCCGTTACATAGCCCCGTCCCGTGAGATCACACAGCTCGGTTCGCATGAGGCACCCGGGCCACATGCCGGGCAGCGGCCACGTTACACCGGGAGGCCCCAGCGTGGGGAGTGCGGACTTGGGGGCCACTGGTGAGAAGGAACCAGACCGGGTCAAGGAACCAGAACGGGGGGCGAGCGTCAGGCCCCCATGCTTGCTCGAGGCTGAAACGACCCATTTGGGAAAGTCAAGGCGACTGCGGGGAGCTGGGTGCCCCGGGCACCTGCGGCTCAGGCGCTGGGGGGTCAGCCTGGCAGGGAAAGCACATTAGGGCGCCTTTTGAGGAAGCGCTGCTGCCCGACCTCACCACGGAGTAAAAGATGAAGTGGGGGCCAGAGGCCACTTACTGGCATGGCCTCCCAGCGCCCCCCTACAGCCACGGCACCCCAGGGCGACCCTAAAGTGCTTTGGCCACAGCAAGCCCAGGGATGGGTATGGAGGGGCCCAGAGGTGCCAGGAGCTGCTGGGCACAGGGGAGGAGGCACGGGCGTCCCAAGACTGGGAGGGCCCTGTCCACTGATTCTAGAAATTTCTAGTAGGAAAAGCATTAATGATTGGGTAATACGGGGCAGAGCAGGAATTAACTTAGGGCCCCACATCCACCCTCTCGTAGGGCTTGGCTACCTATGGGGTTCTCGGCTGTTTAAGGCCCTCCGCCCCGCTCAGGCCCCTCCAGGCGCGTGTTCGCAGGAAGCGAGCCGCTTCCTGGAGCCGGGCGCAGGGGCAGCCTGGGTCGCAGCCCGGGTGGGCGCCCCAGCTCGACAGAGCGTGGGCACTCCGGCTCGCAGGCACGGGACTGGAGGCCGGCCCTGACAGCGCTCTGGGCTAGGGGCGGCCCTGCCGGGCACTCAGCTGGCAGGCTCAGCCCCAAGCTCTAGGGCCCGGTGGGAGGCAGCTGGCTCCCCCTGGCAGGCTCCCCAGGGCCGGACCGTGGCCCTGCCGCCCTCGCCCTGCTGCCCAGCACTGGCACTGGGCGCGCGTTCTCAGCCAGGTGCCTCACAGCCGGGAAGACAGAGCCCGGCCTGCTGCACACAGACTTTTTTTTCAGGGCCTTGGGCTAAGCTGGCAGGGTGACTGTCCTAGGGTGGGGAGAGGCGCCTCCTTTTACTTTTTCTAACGCTCCATTCACTTCCTTTAAATGTCCCCCTTGTACTGACTACGGAGAACTGAAAGCTCGGGTTCCACCACCAAGACAGCTGCAGGTAGCAGCTGCTGTGTGATCCCCTCTGCGGTGCGGTCTCAAAGGACTTTGCTCTTAATTTTCATAATTTTCTTATGCATGTCACATACAAGAATAAGACGCCCCCTCTAAATGCAGAGTTTGGGGAAAAACAGACACTGTTTTACCTTTTTTCCAAACAAAGATGTGTGAAGCGGCAGAAGGAAAAAGCATAAAAACACAAACCTTCCGCACAAACAACATCCACGCCCTCAGCCACCGGGCGGGGCCCAGCGGACTCGGGGCTGACCGCCCCCTGCAGGGCCCGGCCGAGCGCCCACAAGACTGACAAGGCCCTCCCAGGGCCGCTCCAGCGCCACATCAGTTTCTGTTTCCAGGTTCTGCAATAGCTGCATTTAATACTTGCCCAACCCACTTAAAAATCAGAAAAGCTGCCCTGATTCCATTTTCTGATTAAAAAACCCCAAACCAAAAACCACAGCACAACATACAGATAATGACCCAAGTGGAAAAGTTAAATGTGTTGTAATGATATTTGTTTTGCAACATGAAAAGCCGCGGAGATACTCAATATAATTTGCTTCAGTCATAAATACTGGCGTGGCCGGAGCGCGCGGCCGGGGGGGGCGTCAGTACTCCCACTCGTCAGACTTCATGTCGAGGTAGCTGAGGATGTTCTGTGCCAGCTTCACGGCCTGCTTGCGCGCGGCCTTGCTCTGCTCCTCGCCCTGCGGGTCCACGGCGTCCAGCGCCAGCAGCTGCTTGGTGAGCAGCTCCTCCAGCCGGATGTAGTTCTTGTCGGTCCGGCTGCCGTCGAAGGAGAGGACCTCCCCCTGGATCTCGGACAAGCTCCCCAGGACGGTCCAGACGGCTCTGTGGGACGGGTGCTCCTCACACGCCAGCAGCTTCCTCCTCTCCAGGGCCTCCTTCAGGTCGATGTAGGTGATGAGGGTCTGCACCTCGACCACCGCGCGCCGCCGTGCCTCGCGGATGCAGGGGTTCTTCTCCAGGCTCACCTCGTCCAGCTGTCCGATCAGGCCCTGCAGCTCAGTCTTGGCACTCAGATACAGCTCCGGAGGCTTCTGGGCTTCAAGAAGTTCGTTTTTGATCTCTCTCATCCTCTTGAGGACCTTCTCGATCTTCAAGATGGACTGGTTCTGCCCCAGGTCGAAGGCGGGGGTCGTGTCCGCCTCCTCCTCCAGATCCAGGTGCTTCAGCAGCTGGTTGATGTCCTCCACCACCTCCCTGCGGTAGTTGCGGATCTCCGTCCGCCCGCACACGTCCAGCGCGTCCAGGTCCGCGATCAGCCCCGAGAGCACGCAGGACAGGTGCCGGCAGGTCTCGTTGCTGCTCACGCCCATCAGGAGGGCGATCAGGGTGCCCCTGGCCTTGTTCACCTCGCACATCACCGAGTTGATCTTGGCCACAGAGGGGTGCGTGTCCTCGGACAGCGGCAGCGAGGGCTGCTTCTTGGTGCAGTCCTCGATGATCTCCTGCACGGCACAGATGCGGGTGAGGGTGCGGTAGCGGGCCTTCCGCAGGGACACCTTGCCCCCCGTCTTGACGTGCGTCAGCCGCAGGATGATGTCCTGGATGCCCTCCTCGAACTCGTCCGTCACGCAGCAGCCCCTGCTGAAAAAGGGCACGATCTTCTGCTCCACCAGGGCCTGGGCCTCCTGGAAGATGGTCTGTATCTCCAGCCGGCAGGGGTGGCTCGCGTTCTGTTCCAGCTCTTTGAGGAGACGCTCCGTCTCCTGGGCCGCCCTCTTCCTCGCCTGCTGGATGTCGCCTTTCCCTTCAGTGTCCACGGAGTCGATCTCAAAAAGCTGTTTGGTGAGAGTCCTCTCCAGTCTCTTGTAATTCTTGTCGTCCGAGAGCCCGCTGAAGCCGGTCACCTGCTGCTCTATGCTTTTCACCTCCTTCTGGATTTCCTGCAGCCTCCTGAGGGAAGGGTGTTGGTTTCCCATATCCATGCTGTGTTGGGTTCCGTTTCACAAGCACTAGGAGGAGACAGGAAGAAGCGGTCACGCCACATGGTCTCTGCAGGCAGGCTGCCCTGGGGGCGCAGGAGTCACTCTCAGCGCCACCAAGCTAGCGCAGCCCCTGCGGCCTGAGTTCCACCCGGCCAGGGAGCTACCCACAGGGCGCAGCAGCCCTCTCCTGTCTCCCCGCTGCTCCCCTCAGCAGTGGGTTTCAGTGGATCCGCCTGTTGTGCTCCCCACTCTGTCTCTGATGAGTCCTCTCACCCTGTACCTCTGGCCTGTACCCCAGTTCTTGTGTGCGTAAATAAATCTAAAAAAACAAACAAACCCAAAACCCTGAAGTCTCTGCAGGATGGGAAGGGAGCACTCACTCTAAGACTCTCACTTTCAAAGCCACCCCAAGGGAAAGGGCCGCCCCCGGGGAAGGTGCGGAGTATGGGCTGGAGCCCTGGCCCTGAACTTCAAGTTTCTGGAATTCGAAGGGTGTATCTGAGCAGCTTATCCTAGGTGTGGCCGCAGTGCACTATCGGCTCCTGAAGATCGCACCCTGGAAGCTGCAGGGCCCTGTCGGAGAGTGAAGGGTGGCTGCTGCACTCCCAGAGGTGACGGCCAAACAGCTCTGCTAGTTTCCAGAGAAAATAACTCTAAGCAAAAGAAATAGAGCCACTGAAACAGACCCCGTGGTTTCCAGCACCCCCAGAGTCTCCGAGTCTCCATTCCCTCCCAACGCCAACAACGCACCCTGCTTCTCACCCCCCATACACTTCCGCCCCCCACTCCCTGCACAGCTACAGAACCCTACAGGAAGGGAGAGCGACCAGGATTCTGCACAGGGGACTTTCTGGGGTACAGAGCTCCTTTGGGGTCTCCTCATGCTCCCCCCCACCAGGTGACACCCTGCAAAGCCCGACAAGTGCAAAAATTCATGCTCTAGCCTCCTGGGGAGAGTCCAGAAGGGGCTTCAAGGCTGCTTTTCCGGGTCTCCAGAGGGGGGCAGCTAATCCGGGAACCCTGTTCCCCCAGGGTGTGGGAGCCCGGACCCCCCCCTGGCGGGGGCGGGGCAGGACAGGTTCCCTCTCCCCTCAGGGCGGGGCCCTTTACCCAAAGCGGTCTGAGCTGGCTGGGTCTTGGCTGCCCGTCGTGAGGTGGCCAGGTGGAAGATGAGCCCTTTACGGGGTGCGGCGCCGGAGCTCGGCCCCAAGCAGCATCTCTCTCACCCCTCCCGGCGAGGTCTGGACGGGGCGGCCGGAGAAGGGGCCGGCGGGGGCGGCGGCAGCTACTGGCCGCGGCGGCCGCTCCGGGCGTGTCGCCCGGGCCCACGACGCGCCGCCCTCCTGACCTCACAATGGGCCGCGGGGGGAGGGGGCCGCCCGCGCCCGCCCGCGCCGCCCCCGCCCCGCCCCGCCCCGCCCCGCCCCGCGCCCCGCCCCGCGCCCACCCGCGCCGCCCCGGCCCCGCCCCGCGCCGTCCGCGCCCCGCCCCGCGCCCACCCGCGCCGCCCCGCCCCGCGCCCACCTGCGCCGCCCCCGCCCCGTGCCCACCTGCGCCGCCCGCGCCCCGCGCCCACCTGCGCCCACCTGCGCCGCCCCCGCCCCGCCCCGCGCCCACCCGCGCCGCCCCCGCCCCGTGCCCACCTGCGCCCACCCGCGCCCACCCGCCCCCACCTGCGCCGCCCGCGCCCCGCCCCGCGCCGCGCCCACCCGCGCCCACCCGCGCCCACCCGCGCCCACCTGCGCCCCCGCCCGCCCCGCTCCGCCGCGCCCCCGCCCCGCGCTCACCTGCGCCTCCCGCGCCGCCGCCATCGCGCTCCCCAGCGCCGCGCCGGCCCCGCCCGTCCCGCCCCGCGCGTCCGCGGCCGATCGGCCCTCGCCCTGGGACAGACGCCGGCCGCCGCGCTCCGGCCCCCCGCGCCGCCTCGCCGCGCGCGCGGCCGCCCCGCCGCCCCGCCGGGCAAGCGCACGGTCGGCCGCGCCCCCCGCCCCCGGCCGTAAAGCAGCCCGGGCGTCGCGACGGGCCGTGCGCCGCGGAGGCGCGAGCGCCATCATGGCGGCCTGGCGGGCCCGGGCCTGGTGCCGGCTGCCGCCTGGCGGCCGCGCGCTCTGCCTCCGCGCCGGCCCGGCGGCCCCCGAGCGCGCCGCGGGGCGCGGGCAGGCGGCGCCCAGCCCGGTAAGCGCGCGGCCGGGGGGCGCGGCCGGGGGGCGCGGGCGGGGGCGCGTCGGGCCCCCGGGCGTGGCCTCAGGGGCCCGCGTGCTTTCCTCTCGGGGCGCGCCCCGCGCGGGGTGGCCTCGCCCCGGCCGGAGCGCCGCAGACGGCGGGGGGGCCCTGGCGCGGGGCCCGGCGGGCGGTTGACGACCGCGCTCCGGGGGGCGCAGCGCAGCCTGCTGTGCCTGGAGCCCGGGCCGCGGCCGCGCGGCAGGGGACGGGCTTGGCCAGCGGGGCCTCGTCGGATCCCAACGGTCCGTGTGCCGCGGGCCGAGAAGGGGCTGCTTCGGCCCAGGACAGCGGAGCGGGTGAGAGCCTCGCCCTCTCCTCCCGGCCCCTGCGCTATCGCCGTTCCGCTCTCCTGCAAATTGGACTTTGAAGCTTGATCTAGTTTTCAGCATAGACAGGGGGGCCTCCCCGGTGGCGCAGGGGGTCAAGACGCAACCTATGAAGCTGTCAGCAGCCTCTGCAGCACGAGTTCCATCCCCGGCCAGGGAGCTACCCACAGGGTGCAGCAGACCTCTCCTGCCTCCCCGCTGCTCCCCTCAACAGTGTACTTCGTCCATCTGCCTGTTCTGCTCCCCACTCTGTCTCTGGTGACTCCTCTCACCCCCCCCCCCCCCCCGCATCTCTGGCCTGCACCCCAGCTCTGGTATGCATAAATAAATACATCTTTACAGTGTGGACAAGGAGTTACCAGGGCAAGGAATGGTGGCCCAGAGCCTGCCTCCGCCTCAGCTTCCTCCAACAGTGGCACAGCTCTGACTTCCATTTCTAGAGGCAAGAAGCCCACCCAGCACCCATCTGCGAGTGGGGGGCTGCCCTACCAGTGTCTGAAGACGCTGTGGGCAGACAGACCAGGAATCACCCCAAACCCCACCTGGCCCATCTGGTGCTGGGGTGGGCGACATGTGGGGGCCCAGCCTTCTCTGAGGCCTGCAGCCCTTGGTGAGACAAGTCTTACCGTGGGTCTGGTCCTCGGACGAGACCTTCCTGAGCAGGTGCCAGCGCCGCACACTTGTCGGCTCCGCTACCTGCGGCGTCCCCGTGATGGTGTGGAGAAGTGGAGCAGCCGGCCTGTGAGTCAGACCTTGCCGGTCCCGCATTCTGGCTTGTGTTGTTTTCAGGCGTGCTCCCTGCTCCATGAGCCAGTGGGTGGCGCGTGAAAGAACACTTCTCACCTCAGGGGAGCTTGTGTTTCCTGTGTGCTTGGGCCCCTGCTGGTGTAATTAAATTGCTGCAGTACAGAGAGATTGTTGTCTTGCAGGCTTTGATTTTAAATACTAGGTCTTCTTAAAAGCAGCGCATAAGCCTTTTTTTTTTTTTTTTAAAGATTTATTTATTTATTTATACATGCACTGAGTATAGTCAGAAGCGCGGGAGGGTGAGAGAATTCACCAGAGCCAGAGCGGAGAGCAGAGCAGGCAGAAGGACCGAAGGACACTGCTGAGGGGAGCAGCGGGCGGCAGGAGAGGTCTGCGCGCCATGTGGGACCCTCCTCCCGTGGCCGGGGAGCAGCCGGGAATCAAACCAGCGCTGCAGAGGCTGCGGGCAGCTTCGCAACCCAGCGCTCAACCGCTGCGCCACCAGGGAGGCCCTCATAAGCCTTTTATTCTCCGTGTCTAAGTGTGTCTCCTGTGCTGTTTTGCCCCCCCCCCGCACCTGAGTTGAGGAAACCTGGTCTCTGATCTCCAGATACATGCTTTATTTATTTATTTTTTAATATTATGCAATCAAGAGCTGGAGTGCAGGCCACAGGTATGAGGTGTGAGAGGTTTCACCAGAGACAGAGCGGGGAGCAGAACAGGCAGATCCACTGAAACACACTGCTGAGGGGAGCAGCGGGGAGTCAGGAGAGGTCTGCTGCGCCCTGTGGGTAGCGCCCTGGCTGGGGATCGAACTCGTGCTGCAGAGGCTGCAGATAGCTTCATAGTGCGGTGCTCAACCCCTGCACCACTAGAGAGGCCCCCAGATACGGGCTTTTTTTTAGTCATTTTTAAATTTTTTTTTATTTTTTCTGATATTTTAAAAAAGATTTATTTGTTTGTTTATTATACAAGCACTGAGTACAGTCAGAAGCGCGGGAGGGTGAGAGAATTCACCAGAGCAGGGAGCAGAACAGGCAGACAGACAGAGGACACTGCTGAGGGGAGCAGCGGGCGGCAGGAGAGGTCTGCGCGCCATGTGGGTAGCTCCCTGGTCGGGGTTTAAACGCGTGCTACAGTGGCTGCAGACAGCTTCCTAGGCTGTGTCTTAACCCCTTGCGCCACCGGGGAGGCCCTAGTTTGTATATTTAAAAGCTAAGGACTTAAAAAAAAAAAACAAACTCTACCAACATCGTACCTAAAATCATCATCACCCGGCAAATGTGCCATCAGTGTTCGGACTTCTGTGCTTGCCCGAGAAGTGTCGTGTCCTCTCCTGCGGTTTGCCTGCACTGTGTCCGGGCGAGGGCGGCATCTTACAGTTGTGGGGCGTCCTGTTGACGCTGTCGCCGGGGCCGCTTGCTCGCGCCCCAGCGCTCCGCCACACTGGCCTGCCTGCGTCTGGAGCCCGGACCACGGTCAGATGTCACCTTTCTTTTCCCCGAGATGGCTTCATTCATTGCTGCTCCAGAAGCCACGGCTTTCTGCCGTTCAACCAACCTTGCGTTCGCGGTGGAAGCGCGGTGTGGTCCTGACGCTCTGGGCCTTTGCTAGATTGCTGCAGAAGGCATGGCTTGTTTGCACGCTTCTGTCCAGCACAGGAGGCTGGGGGTGCCACCTTCCTGGAGTGACACTCTCCCTTCCCATCTCAGAAGATTCGGGACTGCTGTGGCCAAATGAGCTCTGGGAGCCTGAAGGCTCCAGGAGCTGGTCAGGCATAGGGGAGGCATCCAGCCCCCAAAGACTCCGAGCACCTTCGATGCTGCTGTGAGCGTCGTGTTTACCCTGTGTGGCCCCCATCCGCATACTCAGACCCTCTCGTGAGCTTTAGTCTGAGCTGAAGCGGTGACCTAAGTCTAGTTCCATAGCACAGGCACCTCCTGGGAGCACCAGTCATCACCACCGGTGGCCGCTTCCCCCGAACTGGAGACCAGCTCTGGCTTCCAGCAGGAGGGCCCAGGTCAGCTGCGTGTCAGGAGCGCCCGAGCCGGCCTGCAGAGCTGAAGTTGGGGGGTGCCCAGCTTGGCAGTTCACAGCTAAAGAGGAACAGGAAGGCTGCCTCCCTCCAGGACATTGGAATGAAAACTCAGTTCAGCTTCTGACAAGCAGAACCGGCAGCAGTCCGCTGGCGCCGGGCAGGGTGGGGGTGCTGCCAGGCCTGGAGCATCCAGCAGGCCCTGTGCCACCCCTGGTCCCGCGACACGGTGCCTGATGGCTGTGCTGTGAGAACCGTCTACTAGAGCAATCCTTCACACCTCAAAGGGATGCTTGCTTTAGGAGAGGGCTGTTTCCTCTCCGTGCCTCTTCTCCGCCTCCTTTTGCAATGGCAGTTCTGGGGTGAATGGACAAAATAAAATAGGGGAGAGCAGAGTAAGCACAGGATCTCCCCAATTAAAACGGAAAACTTGGGAAATGACAGGGTGGGTTGAGAAATTCCTCGTAGTTTACGTAAGTGGGACCGAGGTGGCCTTGGGCTGAGTCTCGGGCACCTGCCCCACCTGCCAAGCTGGGGCCAGCCTGATTGCTGGGGGGCTCCTTCACCGCCTCCCAGTGGGACCTGTTGGGAGTTGTGAACAGGCAGCAGAGCTGCCCACGGCCCTCAGGTCGGAGCCCGGCCACCAGCGGGCCCCTCTGTGCGACGCCCCGCTGCTCTCTTAGAACAGCTAGGGTCACGGCTGCGCGGGCTTTCGGGGAGAAGTCCAGAAATACTGGCTGAAAAATCGAGTATTTTAAAGGACTTTCCCCCAAGAAATAGCAGACGATATTGTGTACGGTTTTAGGAGCGGGAGAAAGCGTCTGAGTCCTATCACGTTCAGAAAGGAGGTCTTCGGTCACTCATGTCAGTTCAGAGTTTCTCAGCTCTGGGGGTGCGGGGGGCCTGGGGCAGTGGATGTCCCAGCATGCAGGGCCACTGCCCTCACCTGGCTCCTGGCCCTCCCCTCACCGTTGCCTCGGCAACTCCTAGACCTTGGAGCCGGCTTGCACCTGCAGGAGGAAGGAAGGGGAGCCAGAAGGTGGGGGGTGACGCCGGCCGTGACACAGCTGGCCCCGCTGGGGGGTCTGCTGGGATAGGCCGCGGTGGAGCCCAGCTGCCCGCACCCACCCTGCTGGTGCCCACATACCCGAGTACATGCCCCAGAGCACTCCGGTGGCTGCTTCCCTTGAGGCTGTACCTCAGGACGGGTCAAGAAGTAGCCGTTGGGCCCTTCAGGCACCGGGAGGTAAAGGCCTTCGCTGATGACAGGCTCGGCGCTCCTGAACGTCCAGAGGCCGGTCACCGGTAATGGCCGCCTCTGGTCACGGCCGCTGGCCGTCTCTCCCCCAAATGGGCCGGTCCCCTCAGCTTCTTGGCGAGGAGGTGGGTTCTGCGCAGACGCACAGCGCAGGTCAGCAGGCGCTGCCGGCCGGGAGGACACAGCTCCCGCGCCCCTGTTGCCAGGGGAGGACGGACAGTGGCCGGCAGCGCGGTGGCTCCAGGACTCGGCGGCTCGTTTCCCGCTGCGCCTTGGCTTCCTTCTGCGGCCTCCCGATGGTCGCCCGCTGAGCGCAGGGACGCGAGTGGCCAGTCTGCGGGGGCAGGAGGGCTGAGGCTCCCCGCGGCGCTGAGCCCCTGCAGGCCTCCTGCTCGCGAGGCGCGGCCGCCGGGGGACAGGGCCTTGCTCCGGGTTCTCGGAGCGGGGCCTTGGCGCGCTCGGGCGGCGCCGCGGGTCTGGGCTGCCGTCCCGCTCCTCTGCTTGAGCCGGGGCGGCCACGCTGCTGAGCGCTCAGCGCGGTGGTGCTGCAGCCGCCGCCTCTCGAGTCTGGAGCACCAGCCTCCGGCCTCCACGGCACTGCTGATCCGATCCCTCCCCCTGGAATGGCCTACGAGGGGCGTCTGGAGCCTGACCTCCCCGGGGCCGGCCCTTCTCCCTGGGCCTGGAGACCCCGGAGGGCTGCGTCTCCCTGGCTGGCTCCTGCCCTCTGGGCCTGCTTCCTTGGGGCTGATGGGGAGCGTCCTGCTGAGGGTGGAAGTCACGCCTGGTACAGCTGCCGAAGCGAGGGGCGCTCTCCCCGTGCACCTGGCCACTTGCATCTTTTGACAGAAAAATGGAAAGTCGGTGTCTGGGTCCCTCAGCTGGGCCTGTCACTGTCACGCGAGGTTTATTGAGCCAGTTTCTGCGCAGCGCCCGTCACGGCTGACACCCGGCCACCCGCTGGAGTTTCCACCAGAGCCGTCCTCTGTGGTCTGCCTCCTCCCCAGGCTGTGTTTGCCTCTCCCAGAAGGGCTAGCGTCTCAGGGCCCTGGCCTCAGCCTGCCTGAGCCCCACGGCGCACCCAGCCCTCCAGCCCGCGGAAGGACGTGCGGCCTCCGCTCCGACCCACGCAGCCTGTGGTGGGATGTGCTGACTCGGATCGGATTTGCACCTGCGGGCTTGGTGGCCACTGACCCAAGGGCACCAGTAGCCCCGCCCGCCCACCGCCCAAGCACAGGCCTCAACCCAGAGAGTCCCTGGCCTTACCATGGGGACGCCGCCGAGGGACTTGGTAGGTTGAGACTGTCGCCTTATAGTCCTAGAGGCTTGCTTGTTGTGTATCAACCGTGTGAATTTTACTGCAGGCCTCAAGATTTTGCCCGCCGAGGAAGTCTCGCCATGACTGGATAGGACCCCCAGATCAAGATTCCAACCTCCGGCCCATTCACTTTTACATCCCTGAAAATGAATCGCCCTTGGAGCGGAAGCTCAGGGCACTGAGGCAGGAAACACAGGAGTGGAACCAGCAGTTCTGGGCAAACCAGAATCTGGCTTTTAGTAAGGTGAGTCCAGCTGAGGGGACGGACATAGGTGGCCACTGGGGCACCTACATCACCAGCCTCTGGGGAGCCCTGCTGTACGGGCACCAGTCCCCCCACGTGCACATGTGGCTTCACCCCAGTAGGCCTGTCTGTGGGACTTGGTGACCGTTTATGCAGTCACAGCCGTGAGACCGCAGGGAAGTTGGGGAGCTGGGAGCCAGGGTCTGAGCCTGGCATCACCAGTGCGTGTGTGTCAGAAAAGACGACTTGTGATGCGGGTGCTCAGTGCCTGAGTGCCACCCCCCACAGGTGCTGGGGGGCAGCCTCTACCCCCAGGGAAGCCCAGACTCAGCGTGCATCATCTGTGCTAAGACTAAGCCAGGAGCACCTCATTCTGAGAATATTTTTTTTTATTTTTATTTATTTTTTATTTCTTTTAAAGAACATAAGTTTTTTTTTTGTTTTTTTGTTTTTTTGTTTTTTTATAGAGGCATGCTTTTATTTATTTATTTGTTTGTTTGTTTTGTTTATACATGCACTGGGTACAGTCAGAAGCACGGGAGGGTGGGAGAATTCACCAGAGCCAGAGCGGGGAGCAGAGCAGGCAGAAGGACCGAGGTACACTGCTGAGGGGAGCAGCGGGCGGCAGGAGAGGTCTGCGCGCCATGTGGGACCCTCCTCTGGTGGCCGGGGAGCAGCTGGGGATCGAACCGGCGCTGCAGAGGCCGCGGGCAGCTTCGCAACCCAGCGCTCAACCGCTGCGCCACCGGGGAGGCCCTTTGTTTTTTTTTTTTAAAGATTTATTTATACAAGCACTGGGTACAGTCAGAAGCGCGGGAGGGTGAGAGAATTCACCAGAGCCAGAGCGGGGAGCAGAGCAGGCAGACTGATGAAGCACACTGCTGAGGGGAGCAGCGGGCGGCAGGAGAGGTCTGCGCGCCATGTGGGACCCTCCTCTGGTGGCCAGGGAGCAGCTGGGGATCGAACCGGCACCGCAGAGGCTGCGGGCAGCTTCGCAACCCAGCGCTCAACAGCTGCGTCACTGGGGAGGCCCGAATTTTTTGTTTTAAAGATTGATTTATTTATGCTACAAGAGCTGGGGTGCAGGCCAGAGGTGCGGGGATGAGAGGACTCATCAGAGACAGAGTAGACGCAGAACAGGCGGATCCACTGAAACCCACTGCTGAGGGGAGCCACGGGGAGACAGGAGAGGTCTGCTGCGCCCTGTGGGCCAGCTCCCTGGCTGGACATTGAACTCTTGCCTCGAGGTGGCTGCCGATTGCTTCATAGTGCTGAAATTTAACCCCTTGCGCCACTAGGGAGGCCCTGGAGCAGTGGGAGACAGGAGAGGTCTGCTGCGCCCTGTAGGTAGCTCCCTGGCCGGGGATTGAGCTCGTGCTGCCGTGGCTGCAGACAGCCGAATAGAGCTGAGACTCAATCCCTTGCGCCACCAGGGAGGCCCCCCATTCTGAGCGTTATAAACAAACAGTGTCTCTGAAGTTTATAGACATCTTGTCTTCGACTCCGGCTTCCAGCACGGCCCTCAAGTTCATGGCCAAAGGCAGGCTCTGTGCTAGAAGGGCGGCCCCCCGGAACACCCGCTGGGGAGACGGGGCCGCCGAGAGTTCTCACCCTCGTCTTCTTTTAGGAAAGAGAAGAGTTTATTCACTCGAGACTGAAAGCCAAAGGCCTGGGCCTGAGAACCGAATCAGGTTAGTTCCTGGGCTTTCCCCGCTGATGTTTCGTTTGAGTGACGACGTGGAGGGCAGAGTGATGTGGAATGAAGGAGAGAAAGAGCAGGGCCCCCCGGGCCTCCTCCCCCTCTCCCGGCACCCTGTGCCCGCCCCTGACCTTGGGCCATCCAGAGTGGTGGTGTGGCCTGAGGCCCCTGTCGGTGGTCCCCGCTTCTGCGGTCTCCCTCCCTTTTCCTGACCTCCTGGCCTCAGTTCCGGGTGGTGCCAGCCCGTGCATGCCAGGCCCATGGTGCACCCTGGGAGCTCCCCTCGCTCCTTCTCCAGGTGCGCCTGGGAGGACCCCTCAGCTCTTCCCCTCCCTCTGCCCGCCACGTTGCTCCTGTTCAGTCTCCGTCATGGTCCTGCCTGTACCCATTCCTAGTTGGTGCACGGCCTCAGTCTTTGAATTGGGGGGCGGGTGGCAAATTATTGGGGACCCCACAGTAAGTGGCTTGGCCTTTGCAGGCCATGTGAGGTCAGCTGCTTTGTGACACCCCACGGCAACCCCGGGTCGCGCCGACCCTGGCAGACCTCATTTGCAGGAACTGGTGGCCTGTGGGAGGCCTAATCTGGGCCAGGGACGTAACCCTAACCCTCCCCCTGTACTGCTTGAGGCCCCCGTGAGTGGGGGGGGGGCACAGGGGGAATCCGCAGATGGCCCTGTCTGGTTCCAGGTCCTGCCACGGCCATCCTGCCGGTCACCTTCCCGGCATGGCGGCCCAGTGAAGAAAGGGTGTCATTCTGGTCTCTGCCCATGAGAAACCTGCGGCTGATTGCGCGGCCAAGGTGGCCCACAGTGAGGGGAGGGCCTGGAGCCTGGGCATGTGCTTTGCCACCAGTGCTCCTAGTGGGGGAGGCTATTTCGAGTCTCCTCTCAATGGCACAGCTGCAGGTCGTGGCAGTGCCAGGTATTGGGAGGCTGGTTTTTTTTTTTTTTATTAAAGATTTATTTATCTATGCATAGAGGAACTGGGGTGTAAGCCAAAGGTGCGGGTGGTGAGAGGATTCACCAGAGAAGTGGGGAGCAGAACAGGCAGATCTACTGAAATCCACTGCTGAGGGGAGCAGCGGGCGAGACAGGAGAGGTCTGTGGCGCCATGTGGGCAGCTCCCTGGCCAGCCAGGGATCGAACTCGTGCTGCAGAGGCTGGCAGTAGCTTGTTAGCGTTGTCTTTAATCCCTGCACCACCAGGGAGGCCTGGGAGGCTCGTCTTAAGCAGATTTCTTAATTGGATAAAAGACAGGGAGGATGCATCAGAGAGGAGCTTGGAGGAACCCACGCTGGCAGCTGGTTAAGGGCTTTTCAGGCTGCGACATGGGGGCATGGGGTGTTGCCTGCTGAGCCAGGAGCTCCTGTGCAGGGTGAGGCCTGGGTCTGGGTGAAGGTCAGGAGGCTGGTTTAATGGGTTATGGTGGAGAAGCGGTGACTTGGTGCAGAGAACACTCCTTGTAAGATGCATATGTCCCCAGAAGATGAGTTTATTAGAAGCCAGCCATTGTGGATGAAAAAGGCAAGCGCTCGCCCGGTGGAAGGGAGGCGGTGGAGTGAAACTTCTGGAGCCTGGGGCAGCGCCGTCTCGCCTGGACAGTAGGGGCAGGTCAGAACAGGAAAGCGCGGTCCTGGGTCTCTAGGGCTCTTGCCCGCCCTTCTGGAAGGGACAGTGTGCCCAGGAGGGGCAGCCATGGGGCGGGCCAGGCTGGAGCGGGGCCCAGGGGCGCGAGGGCACCCAGCACTCCTGGCTCCTCTGGCTTCAGCACCTCCTGCCCTGTTTACGCTGCGAGGCCAGTGGGGCGGCGCGGGCGTAGGCGGGTGGGGTGTGCCGGATGCAGCTGCTGGCCGGAAACGGGTGGAGACCCACAGGCCACGGCTTGAGGATGTCGGAGGCGGGGCCGCCTGTGTGGACGCTGTCCACTGGGTGGTGGGCGCCCAGGCTTGGTGCTCTCCCCCGGCTCCGTGCAGACACCCTCTGGGTCCCTGTCAAGCCCGGACCCTGTGCTGCTTCTGTCTGGACCAACCCCCTGGGGGGCAGCGTGGTGAGAGCTCCGCTGGGCGCCCTCGCGCACGGCTGCTGGAGCGAGGGGCCGGAGCACGGGGCCTGGGCTGGCAGCTCTCGCTTTCCTCGCCCGCTTCCTCCCGGGACAGACCCCGCCCGCACTGTCCCCTCGCGGCCGTGCGGTCCAGGCCCTGTCAGTGTGTGTGAGGGCGCATAGCCCCGCGCCTGGCTCCAGAAACACTCACATGGCCGCAGTTGCCCAGCTGTCCCCCCAGCCGCTGTTCCCGCGGGCGCCTGTCTGTCCTGAATACCCCCAGGTGCCGCCTGAGCCACCCCCGTCGGCTCCAGGGTGTTTCCAAGGCCCTTCCTGTCCTCACGGTTCGTACTTCGAAAATTCTTTTTTATGGCTGAATAATGGCGTGTGGGCACACCCCGTGCTGTATCTGTCCACCCGCTGGCCGGAGGCCGATGCCCCTTCCAGGTGCCTCCTGCCCCCGGGCCCTCGGAGCCGAGCGCCTGCAGACAGCAGCGCCTGTGGACCGTTCCGGCTCTGTCCCGCAGCGGGGCCCCGCCGGTCCGCACTTGCTGCTGGCGGTGGGGCGCAGACCCTGGCGGCGTGGGCGGTGGCGGAGGCCCCGGTCCTGACGAGCGCCCCCACCCTCGCTGCCCCGCGCCGCTTCCTTGGAGAAGCCTGTTCGAGTCCTTCGCCTGTTTATTTCAAGGGGCTGGTTCCTCATTGCGCCTGCGCTGGTTCAGCCGGCACGGGGGTCTCCGCGTTCCTCTCCCGGTGGCTGAGCCTTTAGCCGTGCAGCCCGCAGCAGGGTGGAGTCGGGGTGCATCTCGCCCCCGCGGCTGCCTGCCCCGGGGTGGGGGGATACGGCACCTGCTGGGTGCTCAGGGCTGGCACGCCTGGGTGCTTTTGCTCACGGTGTGAGGGACTCGCTTCCCCATCGTGGCTGGTGCCAGAGACTCGGGGCGCGGGAGCCACTTATGTCCGGCGTCCCTCTGGCCTGGCCCCGGCTGGCCTGCTCACGCGGGGTCCTTCCCCTGCGGCGTTAACGTCTCAGCCAGGATTCATTTTCAGGTCAGAAAGCGACGCTGAGTGCAGAAGAAATGGCAGACTTCTACAAGCAGTTTCTCAGTAAGAATTTTCAGAAGCACGCGTGTTATAACAGGTGAGCGGCGTCCCTGCGGGCGGGGCCTCCTTCTCACCCGCCATCAGCCGCCGCGTTTCTGTCCAGGTCGCCGGAGACTTGCTTGCATCTTCAATCAAGTCGCGAGCCTGGCCCTGTGCAACCCGCCTCTTCACCCCTGCAAGGGGCCCCGGGAGATGGGGCATCCCGTGGTCTGAGAGCAGGGTTGGGAGCCCACGGGGTCTCGCGCAAAGGGCTGCTGGGACGGCTCCCAGGGGCTGGGGAGGAGCGTTTCAGCCGCTCAGGGACGGCGACCAAGGGGTCTGAGGAATCAATTCTCCGTGAGGTGGGCAGGGCCAGGTGCCCTGCTGGGAGCCGACGCCTCCTCCTGCATACTGGTGACAAAGAGGAGGAAGCCTCAAGCACACACCCCTCCTGCTCTCAGGGCCCGAATAGGGGTCTTTCCCTGAGGAGGATGGACAGCTGAGGCGCCCCGGGGCTGGGCCGTACTGTTTCCCCGGGACATTTGGGCAGCAGTCACCTGTGGCAGCTAAAGCGCCAGGCGGGACGCTGGTGATGGGCAGGGCTGGCTGGCGCCCGGACCCCCACTTCTACACTCCGTGTGAGATCTGTGAGGTGCAAGGGAGGTACCCCCGGAGGTGGTTGCACCAGATTCTCACACACACTCGGGTCTGGCAGCCTTCACTCCCCACAGCTTCCAGGCCCAGGGACAGGGCAGCAGAGGGCCCCTCCAAGGCCAGGGCTAAGATAGAGCCTTTGATACAGTTCCCAGATGCTGGACACGCCACCGGGTAAGGGATCCAGCTTCAACAATGAGAATTAAAAAGAAAAAAAGGAAGGGGAGCTGTCATAGGTTAGAAGAGCCTCCCCCTCCCCACCCATGGAGGTCTTATTCGGCCCCTCATGCGGACAAACCACTGCAAAAGCTTTGGAGGGACAGGGGACGCCGGGCAGCTAGGGGACACTGGGAGGCCAGGGGATCGGGGTGGCCAGGGGACGCCGGGAGGTCAGGGGACGTGGGACAGCCACACCAGGAGGTGGGGGGATACTGGGAGGTCAGGTGACACTGGGCAGCCAGGGGACACAGGGAGGTTGGGATACCGGGAGGCCAGGGGACACCGGGAGGTCAGGGGATGTGGAACAGCCACACCAGGAGGCCAGAGGATTCTGGGAGACCAGGTGACATGGGGTGGCCAGGGGATGCCAGGAGGTCAGGATACCGGGAGGCCAGGGGATGCAGGGTGGCGACCGCCTCTCTGTCCTCTTGCTGGGCTGCCCAGCCTCTGCTCAGAGGCAGTGGGCATCTCTGGGGAGATGAGGGTGGGCGGGTTGGGATGGGCTATGAAGCTGCCTGAGCAGCATGGCTCAGGCAGGGGCGGTGAGACACCAAGAGCTGGGAGGGCCGGCACACGAGCTCCTGACCAGCCCGAACAGCCGTAGGACCTGCTGGATGTTGGACTCTCAGGACCTCGGATTGCCGAGTAGACACGTGGGCAGGGGGGCACCCCACAGAGGAGAGGGCGCGACGTGGCCACACCCCCTCACTCAGCATTGTCCCTCTGAGGATGCAGCGGCTGTGGGGGCCAGAGCCTTTCAAGAGTGCTTTTCTTTTTTTTTTAAAGCTTTATTTTATTGGGCCTCCCCAGTGGTGCAGGCGGTTGAGTGCCGCAATGTGAAGCTGTCTGCAACCTCTGCAGCGCCGGCTTGATCCCTGGCCGGCCAGGGAGATACCCACATGGCGCACAGACCTCTCCTGTCTCGCCCGCTGCTCCCCTCAGCAGTGTATTTCGTCAGTCTGCCTGTTCTGCTTCCCACTCTGTCTCTGGGAAATCCTCTCACCCTCCCATGCCTCTGGCCTGTACCCCAGTTCTTGTATGTATGAATGAATAAATCTTTTAAAAAAAAGACCTATTTTATCTTTAAAAAAGTCTTTAAAAAAAAGATTTATTTATGCATACAAGAACCGGGGTGCAGGCCAGAGGTGTGGGTGTGAGAGGACTCCCCAGAGACAGAGTGGGGAGCAGAACAAGCGGATCCACTGAAACCCACTGCTGAGGGGAGCAGCAGGGAGATGGGAGAGGTCTGCTGAGCCCTGTGGGGTGACTCCCTAGCCGGGGGTTGCACTCCGGCCACAACAGCTCCGATAGCTTCATTGTGCTGAGACTGACCCCTGCGCCACAGGGAGGCCCTCAAGGGCTCTTTTGAGGGCCAGAGGAAGCCGGTGTGGCAGGGCAGAGGGCAGGCGGGTGGGAGGCCTTTGGAGGCTGCTGGCCCTGAGGGCACCGGGTGGGGCAGGGAGAGGAAGCAGAGACACGGGTGGGGCGCAGGAGGGGCCCATCGACTCGGACCCACTTGTCCCTCCCGTTCCTCTGCAGAGACTGGTACAAGCGCAACTTTGCCATCACCTTCTTCATGGGAAAAGTGGCCCTGGAGAGGATTTGGAATAGGCTGGGCTGGAGACAGAAGAAGGGCGGCGACTAGGAGCCGCGCGGCCCCCACCGGGTCCGGAAGGCCGCTGGCCACAGCACGGGTGCAGCCGAGCCCGGGGCTGCTTTCTGCTTGGTGACTTGCCCCTTTGGAGCAGCTTGCCGTGAGATGTGAATAAAGTGCCCCTTGGCCAACGCCACCTTGCTGACAGGAGTGATATGGACGCCGCCTGGGTGGGCCGCCGGGCGCTCGCCTCCCGCTCAGGAGAGCCTCGGTCTCCGGCGTCACCCCCGTGACACGCTCCTGGATCGCCCCCTTCCTGAGTCAGCAGAGTTAGGGGGCTGTGGGCCGGAAGCTGAGGCTTCTCATCCGCGCCTGGAGCCGAGGCCGGGTCCCAGCTGCGCGGGGGCGGGCGGGGGCCACGTCGTTAGCGTGTCCTCCGAGGCGGAAGTGGCGGCGTTGGGGCTAACCCAGAGCCACTTGGCAACAGTTTTTATTCCAAAATGAGGGCCGATGGGAGTCATGAACTGGGCTCTTCAGCGGCTTATACACTGGAGCTGAGAGTGGTTCCCAAGGAAGTTCCAGAAACCAGAGGACCCTCCCCCTCCCCGCCACTGTGGCTGCAGCCCCAGTGGGTGAAGCCGGTGGGCAGAGCCCCTTGGCCGCACGTCCCAGGAAGGAGCCCTGCCCTGGGCCACTGCTGGTGGTGGCCACTGGCTTTGCGTAAAGGGCTCGGGCGTGGAGGGCACACCAGCGGCCTGGGGCTCTGGTCCCCTGAGGCCCGCCTGCTCCCTGCAGAGGGGCCGCAGGCTCGGGCCCCAACTCCATGGTGCCTGCTGACCTGTGCGCTGGCTGGGACGGGCCTCCGGGCGCTGTGGCCCTGTGTGCGCGTCCTTGCTGAGGGTGACCATTCATGGTGGGGTGCCCCACCAGCTACGAAGGCCCAGGGGTGAGGAAGGTATTTGCCGCCCGAGGCCAGGGCCTGCACTGACCAGCCCTGCGCAGCCAGCTTCCGGCGCCCGGCCACTGAGCGGAAACTCTGCTCTTCTGGAGGTTGCTGTGACCCCGTGGTCTCATTGTTCACCCCCTTAAGGCCTCACTCAGGGCTCTCCCACCGGCCAGGGCAGGGCAGGGGCTTCAGAAGCTGGGTCTCTCCACACGCCCCAGCCCGGAGCAAGAGAGCCTGGACAGGGCCGGCAGCCTGAGTCCAGCGGGGCCACCAGAGGCTGCCCGTGTGGACGGGGCTTAGGGCAGCTACCTGCCCAGTGGGCAGGCTCAGGCAGGCAGTGATCCAGGTGACCAAACGGTGCCAGAGACGAGGTCTAGTCCCCGGGGCCGGGCCAAGGGGCCGCTGCCGTCCACTCCAGAGACGCGTTCTCTGAGGAGGGCTCGGGACAGCCCGCTGCTGTGCTCAGGCGGGGCGGGCGGCTCTCTCTCAAAGTGGGAGTTTCCCTGGGAAGCTGTCAGGAGGAGAGTGACCCCTGGCGACTTCTGGCTGGGAGAGGGGGGCTGGGGGATGAGGAGCGCAGAGACCCCGGCGTGCAGGTGGGGTGCCGGTGGAGAGCCGACCCCCGGCGCTGCCACCCTCTTTCGTGGGCTCTTGGACCTTTCCGCTTCAGTGGCGGTGGCAAATGTCACGCTGGTGACAAACAGGCAGGCAAGCTGCGATTAAAGTTACTAGACCCTGACGTCTGTACGCGGTTACGGAAACATTTGTCACACACAGATTCAAATAAAGTATTTTTATGGACTTTAAAATAACTTAAAATAAATGCTACCTCGGCGGCGCGCTTTCTGCTGCTCTCCGCAGAAGACGTCCGAGAGCGGAACGCGTGTTTTCTGAATTAAAAAGAGAAAGTTGAGTCTCCTCCCCCTCTGCACTTGGGTGCTGTTTGTGGACACTGGGTCTTTAACGGCACATGTGAACCCCAACACAGGACCCAGGTGAGGCGGTTGTGCCGGGTGGCGGTGGGGGCCCAGGCGGCAGGGGCGGGGCTCCCGGGGCCTGGGGATGGGGCGTCTGAGCCACGTGTCTGCAGCAGAGCCGCGTGGCCCGTGGAGCCTGCAGAGCAGTGCAGGCCTCGGCGGCCCGTGGTGGGTGGGCCGGGCAGTCACGCCGCGTGTGCTGTGCGAGGGGCTGGCCCCTGTCCAGGAGGCCCTTCCGGGAGGTGGGCCCAGCACAACACTCGCCCCAGTCTCAGCTGGGCGCCCGGGGCAGCAGGGTCTGCACCCCGCATGTGCCCCTGCTCTAGGGCCGCCTCCCCCCTGCTCTGGAGGAAGCAGGTAAGTCCGGTCCCAGGCTCGTGTGCTCTGGCTGCCGCTCCTTTGGCTTCGCCCTCATCCCTCGGTCCTCCAAGGGTGACACTGAAGACCCTTTTCTGGCAGCCCCCCCCCACCTGCTGTTCCCCTGCAGCCTTCCGCGGGGGTGGGGATTGGGCCGCCGAGGCCCCCCAGAAGGTCTTCATTAGACATGTGCTCAACTGTAAAATCACAATAAATCCTTGGTTTTGAGAGCAGAAGAGTGAGACCCACGAAGGCAGCTCTATGGTTTCTAGCGGCGCTTCGGCTCTTTGGACGAGCCCTGGAGTGGAGCCCCACGGGCGCAGCCGTCTGTGGAGCCCACGTCCCAATGCCACGGCTGGAGCCCTGCCTCGGAAGGCAGCTGCGGGGCCCACAGGCCCCAGTCTCTCCGGGGCTTCACCAGCCACCTTGGCCAGTGTGCACCCCGAGTCTGCTGCGGGCCTGTTTCTCCCCAGCTGGGTGCGCGGGCCGTCCCCCCACCCCTGTGGACAGCAGCAGATGCTGCACTGCCTACCCGGTGCCGCCGCCCACTGGGGCTGCCTCGGTGGCTGCGCACTCTGGACAGTGGCCAGAGGGAGGGCTCAACTGTGCACCCGGTCACCCTGGCCACGTGCCCCGGCCACCGGCTTCCCGGGCCCGCACGGCTTCCTGCAGCACTGCGCACAGCGGGTGGGGTTTAAGGCCAAAGAAGAGCGGCAGGATGAAGGCCTGCAGAGTGTTTCCCAGCCCCAGCTGATCGGATTTCATGTTTACGTTCCACGCTAGTCACGGACCTGCGTTCTCTTCTCGTCCTTTCAGTGGCAAAGTCGTCTCCACTTAAAAATGCGCCGCTAGGGTCCTGCGAGGACAGGGGCGTCACCCGGCCTGCCAGTCATCAGGTGCCTTCTCCTGCCAGCATCACAGAGAAGGCTGGTGGCCAGGTTTAAAAGAGCGGGATTGATAGTCTATTTCTAAAACAAGGAGCTGCAAGTGGGGATACCCCTCCTCAGCCTCCCCAGGACCCGACCACTCCTCAGCCTCCCTTTGCTGCGGGCGGCCCTCACGCAGCAGCCCTGTCCTGGCCTTGCCTTCAGGAGCAACCACGGCGGCTGCTCCCTCAGCCCCAGCAGAGTTGCTCAGGCTCCCGGGAGGAGCTCCAGGAGCTCCTGGCTGGCTCGAGCGGAGTCCTCCAGCAAGCGCACGGCAGCAGGCGCCAGGGGGCGCTCGGGGCCTGCACCCCACTGCTGTTGGGAACGGAGGCTGGCGGTGGCCAGGGTGTGGCCATCACAGCCTGCGGGAGGGGAGGGGCTGGAGGCAGATCCCCAGGGTGCTGGCAGCTGGGTGTGCCTGGAGGCCCCTGTCCCTCTCGGAAGCTGGGCCCTGCACGGCCTTGGAGGCCCGGAGCCCAAGTGGACAAAGCTGGACGGCGTGTGCCGTGAGGTCCACAATGGGAACTGCCGTTCCTCAGTCATCAGCCGGCTCCAGTCAGCCCATGCACGCCCTCAACCACGTGTCTCCCGAGCGTGTAGACCTGAAATGGCCCCCATTCAACTCTTGCTGCCAGCCTCAGCCCCACTGTCCTGCCGTCTGCCTCCAGGTTTGACTCTGGAACCACCCAGAATGCAGCCTGGCAGACAGTTTCAGCTCTGGCACCTCAGCCCTCCCAGCCAGGGGCCACAGCGGCTTGCCGCCCAGGGCAGGAGCCGGCGTCCCGGGGTCCTGTGGAGAGGCCGGGCCTGCCTTAGGCGTCCTCCCACCACATGCCATGTGCGCCTTCTGCATGTAGCCCTGGGGGTGCAGAGCCCCCAGACAGTGTTTGCGCCCCGTGCCTGGGCCACCTCCTTGCAGGCACTGCGCTGCCCGCCGGGCACTCACTTCCATGGTCTTCTGGGAAAGTCATTTCTGTCCTCCAGGCTGAGGAAAGTGCACGTCGATCTTCCAGCATGACCCGGCTGTGCAGGCTGCGCGGGAGCTCCGGCCACTGATTGGGGCTGTCCCCACCGCGGCCTGAGGCAGTCCTGCTGGAGCAATGCGGGCAGCCCCGCGGGGAGAGAACCAGATGGATCGGTGGCCACTCGCCCCATGGGGCCCCTCCAGGTGGCTCAGGGAAGCTCAGGGCGCACGCCGGCCGTGGCCCCGCTCCCCCTCGCACGCTCCCAGGACTTGAGTTTGCCATCAAAGCATCCACAGTCCGGTGAGGCGGGAAGGCGGACACCCCGTCAGAGTGGCCATGATATGGCTGCCAGCCCCTCCCCTCCTCACCCCCACCCCCACTCAGGCCGGCAGCCACAGCTGGACAGGAGCAAACAGCTGTGGCCACTGGCTGGGGGAGGCTGACCCATGGGTAAACAAGCCAGCACCCGCCCCATGGGCCAGCGAGGACCTGGTCCTAAAGGGAAACAGCCTCCCGGCACACGGGGAGCCTGCTCTGCCCACAAGCTCTGGAATCTGGTCACCAGGGCAGTGTGGGCCTCACCCCTCCGACCTCCTCCAGCCTCACCAAGCTGTGCCTGGGCCTTGTTCAAGCAACAGCGCCGCTGCAGGGGCGTGCAATTAATAGAAACAGGCGAACTGGTGGGGTCTGTGACTAATGGGAAGTGGGGGTTCCACGCAGGGTGGGGGGCGCGGGGCACAACGGGCGGGGCCTGGGGCAGGTCCCTGCAGGGGTCCGGCATCTCCCCCAGCCCTGGGCTGCCCACCCCGCAGACAGGGCTCCGCTGCCTGGCCTGTCAGACAAGGCCAGGGGAGGGGCGCGGGGCCCCTTCCTTCCCGCCGCCGCCTCTGCTACGGGGCTGGGGTCACCCCTGAAGGAGGCCGCCCGCGGGGGCAGATGCTGCTGGCAGCTGGCGGAGCCCTGATCAGAGCCCACCAGGGCAGAGTGTCTGTGGCCCGGCCCTGGCGCGGTCTGGGGTGCAGGGGGCAAAGCAGCCGAGGGCGGGGCCTGCAAGCTGGTGAGCCTGA